GTGATTCTCATCACTGATGTTTCCATCTCTCTCTCTCCCTCTCCCTTCCTCTGTGAAACCAATAAAAACATATTTTAAAAAATAAAAATAAATGAATGGAAGAATATCCTCGGGTGAGGATTAACAAAACAAAAAGTCTATTGGCTACATAAGCACCGAGGGTGTGGCCCCAGCCCCTTCTGGCTGGGTCCTGGTCACTGCCCCTGGCGGGAGCAGAGTGGCTGGAAGAGGGGAAGACAGTTATCGCCACGGCGACTCGGTCTTGCCTCTGACTCGGAGAAACGGCGGTGGAGCCAGTGGAGCCAGGGCTGCCCACAGAGTCTTAGCTCACCTGGTGCCATTGTAACCCCAGGTACTATGCTAAAGCCCAGGCTACTAGAACTAGTACTTTAACTTCAGAAAGCAAGATGTTTTCCTGTGCTGGGGGAGGAGGCGTGTATGTACAAGTAGGACAGAAAGTAAGAAAATATTAAATAATTAAAAAAAGAAATAGCCCTTAGCCGGTTTGGCTCAGTGGATAGAGCGCCGGCCTGCGGACGGAAGGGTCCCGGGTTCGATTCTGGGCGAGGGCACATGCCCAGGGTTGTGGGCTCCATCCCTGGGGCGGGGTGAGGGTGGGGGTGGAGGGCGTGCAGAAGGCAGCTAATCAATGATTTTCTCTCATCATGGATGTTTTTCTCTCTCTCCCCCTTCCTCTCAGAAATCAATAAAAAAAATATATATATCTTATTTTTTTAAATATACTTTATTGATTTTTTACAGAGAGGAAGGGAGAGAGATAGAGAGTTAGAAACATCGATGAGAGAGAAACATTGATCAGCCGCCTCCTGCATGCCCCCCACTGGAGATGTGCCCGCAACCAAGGTACATGCCCCTGACCGGAATCGAACCCGGGACCCTTCAGTCCGCAGGCCGATGCTCTATCTGCTGAGCCAAACCAGTTATGGCTAAAAATATATCTTTTTAAAAAAAGAAACAGAAAATGAAATCCTATGTGAAATTCAGCATAACTTCTAGTTTAGTAGATGCGGTAGGCCAGAATGGTATCGTCAACATGAAGGACAACCTGATAGACGCTGCTCTCTTCTTCACAATAACAGCTTGTTCGCGAACAGACCTTCCTCCTGGATGATGGATGGGGAAGGCGGGGCCGCTCATCGGGGTGTCCTGGTGGTTTGGTTCAACATGGCAGCGGCGGAGACAGGCATTTTAACCACTATCACCTGTGCTCTCTCCTCTGCGTGTGTGCTTCTGAGTGTGGGGAGTGTCTATGTCAGTGGTTCTCAACCTTGGCTGCACGTTAGAATCACCTGGGAATCTGTTTAAAATCCTGATTTCTGGGCCTCATCCTCCGGAAATTCTGTTTCTTTGTTACTCATGTTGTGGCCGCACCCCATAACAAAGAAACAGAATTTCTTCTGGTCTACGTTTTCTCCCTGTTTATAAAGGGCTGGGACTGACCAGCAGACCACGAGTGATGGATGAATGATTATTTTGACATATGTTTTTGTGAAAGAGAGGGTTAAGGGACTGCCTGGCTATAGGAACCAGACAGTCCCGTTTGTCTGTCTTTTTAGGCTTTTATTGTAGGAATAACTTGAATTAAAATTAATTTTTAGATATTATTAGCAGGGTAAGTATTTTTGAGAAAATATATGTATTGGTAGTGTTTTTTAAACAAGGTCGTGTCTAAAGACTAAATAAAGAGATTCCAGTAAAACACTTGTTTGGAAAAGTCAAGGCAGGGTCTGCCGTCCTCGGCCAGGTCCCCCTCGAGGCCTTCGACCTTTTGGAGAATTTTTTTCATAGACTTTCCAACCAAGTCTCGCATTTCCCCATAATAAAGCAGGCCTTACAGTTTGGACTAAGACAGTGGTGGCATGGAGCTGCCTCAGGTCACGCTCGTTTGAGCAAAATCTGTAACATGTTAATACTCTCAGAACCATGTGTAGCATGAATCATACTGCGTTTTGTCAGAGAGCCGGTCCTTCCCTGAAAGCCTGGGGAGCAAGGTGACCTGAAGAGGGGTGACGGGACTCAAGTTCATGAAGAAAAGCACACTCGAGACGGTAATGCCAGTGCCGGGCCCCGAGTGATGAGACGCCCGGGAAACTCTGCAAACAGTTCGACTTCTGAGGGTCAGGCAAACCCAGCACCGACAGACATCCCGTCTTCCATCCCAACCTCCCAAAGTAACCTGTGAAGTGCCTTTCCTCTTTGAAATCTTAATATTTAAAAAAATCTCCCATTAGGCCGTCCATCACCCCTCCTTTCCAATAGATCTTGGCTAACTAGGGATCAGAGGAAATATTGGAGGGAATGTTTCATTCGGTGGACTTCACATTAGACAGTAAAAACCAGACAAGTTTTGGGAAGCCAAAGGGATCATTTTAAAACAGCGGTTCTCAACCTGTGGGTCGCGACCCTTTTGGCGGTCGAATGCCCCTTTCACAGGGGTCGCCTAAGACCATCCTGCATATCAGATATTTACATGACGATTCATCACAGTAGCAACATGACAGTTATGAAGTAGCCACGAAAATAATGTTATGGTTGGGTCACAACATGAGGAACTGTATATAAAGGGCCAGAAGGTTGAGAACCACTGTTTTAAAAGCACCCTCCAGCCCTAGCTGACTTGGCTCAGTGGACAGAGCATCGGCCCACAGACTGTAGGGTCCCAGGTTCGATTCTGGTCAAGGGCACATACCTTGGTTGCAGGCACGACCCCCGGCCCAGGTCGGGGTGTGTGAGGCAGGCAACCAATCGAGGTATCTCTCTCACATCGATGTTTCTCTCTCTCTGTCTTGTCCCCTCCCTTCTGCTCGCTCTAAAAATCAATGGAAAAATCCCCTCAGGTGAGGATTAACAATAAAATCGCCCGCCTCCAGCGGCCTGTCTGACCCAGGGCTGCAGACCTCCCTGGGAGAGTTAGCTCACAAATTCCTCGTGCCAAAGCCTGGGGGTGGAATGTGTCTCTGAATTCAGAATTTCTCAGACTTCGGAAAGAGCAGAATGATGCACAGACTGTAATATAATTTCAGTGCCTCCCTAACAAATCCATTACTATTTCTGCGCAAATAGATACAAAAAATTCCACACAGAAGGTGATTTTAAAAAACATTGCAAATAGCCTCACATCATCTCAGGTCACGTCTTGGGGCCAAATGAGTCAAGGTTTTGGAAGCAAAAATGCAGGAGAGTGGGTCTGTAGGATAGTGTTTTTCAAACTGTGGTCCCCGGCCCGGCGATCTCTGTATCACCTGGGCACGTAGAAATGCAAAGTCTTAGGCTCCGCCCAGAGCCCCTACAGTGGAAGTTCTAGGAGCCAGGTGATTCTGATGCAGGTTAGAGTTTAAGAACTGCCACCTTGCCCTGGCCGGTATGGCTCTTGGATAGAGCGTCAGCCTGCGGACTGAAGGGTCCCAGGTTCAATTCCGATGAGGGGCACATGCCTGGTTGTGGGCTTGATCCCCAGTGGGGGGCATGCAGGGGGCAGCTGATCCATGATTCTCTCTCATCATGGATGTTTCTCTCTCTCCCTCTCTCTTCCTCTCTGAAATCAATTAAAAAAAAATCTCTCTATATAAAAGCCTAAGCGACCAAACAACCGGTTGACCGGCTGCTATGATGTGCACTGACCACCAGGGGACAGATGCTCAACACACAGGATTGGGCTCCCTCCTGTCTAGA